TGCGCGGGGGCAAAAAGATGAGACTGTTGTCCGACAGGTCCAGTGCTCTCAGGGTCTCCAGGGAGCTCCAGTGGAGAGCCGTGCTCAAGTCGGTCACCGCAGAGTGGTTGTAGAGGGCTCGGCTCAGGTTGAGCTCCCGCAGAGACTGGTTCAGGACGGCAAAGGCCTCGGGATGAATAACAGCCAGCTGGTTGTTGCTCAGATCCAGAGAGCGAAGCCTGTGCAGTCCTTTGAAGGTGAGGGATTCCACCTCAGAAATTCTGGATTTGAAGATGACACATCATTAGCAATCACCATCAAGACGGAGAGAATGAAAGCACATTTACCTCGAATCAAACCTGAAAGAAAACTGAACGTGGTCGTTTTAACACAGTCTACTACTATGCACACGGGTAACAGAACTTAAACCAATGGATGGGTGCAGTTCAAGAACAATGGGGGTCAGGTGAAGAATGAGAAAACAGAGTTTTGTCACAGTTTCAGTCCTTCGGAGCTTTGCATTAGCACAATAACAAAGAGCCCCAGAGCTCAGGGAGAGTTTCTTACCTGTTATTGCTCAGAGATAGGTTGGTAACATTCTCCAATCCTTTGAAAGACTCCGGACCGATCCGGCTGATCTGATTCCCCGTTATAAACAGATTCCTCGTGTATCCCGGGATCCCAGCCGGGATACTCTGCAGGTCTTTGGAGACACACTTCACGGTGTGAGCCGCCTCTGAGCACTCGCAGCGAGGAGGGCAAGAAGCGTATACGGAGGCGAGGAGCGCGCAGAAAACAATGCCCTGCGTCAAATCCAGCATGTTGGAAAGGAAAACAAAAAAGTGTCCGGTTAGAGAGCGGCGGCAAGAAACAGCGACAAAGAATACACGCACACGGGGAGAAACAATCAGCTCCACCGAAACATCATGATCACGAGCTGTCCCGGCCGGGAATGCGCCTTTAACTTTGGATCTCTGCAGAAAGTGTGGCCGGGAGGCTGGCTCTGATTTCCATGAGAACAAAAGTGAGGGTCGTGCAGATCAGAGGGGGTGTTTGATCCTTCGGGGCGTTGCTTCTGCTCCAGCAATGAAGTTAAAAGGACCATCGAGGAGTGTAGTGATCTGCGGGGAGGGGCTTCTCTCCGCCCGGATCTACGAGATCTTCCCCTCAGCCCTGAGCAGAGAGCGCAGGCATGAAGGATGGATGAGGAGGAGAAAGTGGCGCGCACTCTCTCTCGCTCTCTCCTTTTTTCTGCACTCAAATATAAATGTGAATGTAATGAATTCTGGACTTTAACAGTTGTATTTCAGAACAAAGAACAGGCAAACATACTCGTCATTCCCAGCTCCCCAGGTGGTGTGCGCTAAATGTGGGGGAGGAGTGTTTGGGGGCCAACCTTCAGCCTTTGATCCCCTCTTTTCTTCAACACCACGATGATCTACTGGATCATGAGACTTTTGGCCACTTGGCAGCTGAGTATGAAAGCTGCGAGGACTTCCTCTTCTTTATAAATTTATTCCGACAACTTCCAATGACTACTACCTGAATGACTTCCGAGAGTATTTAAAGACGAGCAAGGCTCTCGCATATCATGACTCAGTCTTAAAACATCATCCCTCCTGCTGACAGCCCTGATGAAACACAGCAGTCACGACTGAATGATGCGAATTCAAGAGAGAGAAAAGCAGAGCCAAAAATCTATAATAACTTTTATACGCATTAAGGCTGGGGGTCGGACACATTCAGAGTTCGCATCTGTATGGTCTGCAGCATAGAAGATATGTTGGGATTAGAGAAACAAAGGAGGTTTTTTGACATTGCAGACTGGTATAAGTATACATGGATGGTGGCACTAATAATAGCATCCCAACTGTCTTTTGTGAGCGGTCTGAATCGCTGTGGCCACAGGTCTCCGCATTCCAGGACCCGGCTCCTGGATACAACAAGGCACCGCAGGAGGCAACATCTAAAACCATTCACATCATCCCCACTCAGTGTGGCATTCCCGCACATGGCCGCCCTTAAATAGGCCCAAAGTACTGCTGATCTGGACAATCTCTCTTTCAGAAATATACCTTCATATTTATGTGTTACAGGCGGCAATGTTGTGAGGCATGCCGGCTGCTCTCAAAAGGACCGTTCATTCCTCCACTGCCTTTTATGCCTCAAAGCGCGCTAAATGAGCTGCTTCATTAAGGACAGGTTTCACATTCAAAGGCACCGTTTGCCGTCCGTTTTCTGACATTTAGCGCAATTACAGAACACCAAAGGGATTTTCACTTTACTCTTTGTTTCTACTGGGATTTTCCACAGACAGGTCCACCAAGTCTGCACCTTAAATGTCACTGCAGTTTAGGCATAATGAGCACATTTCCACGTTTTCTTTAAAGGCATGCTCCTTCTTGGACACAGCAGTGTAGTCTGCTCAGCTCAGTCATTTAAAAGAAATAGTTGACATCTTAGGGCATACATATGCATTTTAAAGGGCTACTGACCTATTCTACCACTACAAATAAAATGTCATTTTATGCAAAAAGGCCCTTACATTTAAATTTATCCCTACAAAAGGCCTCGTGTAGGTTACAACTACACATCTCATGTCCAAGTTGTGTTAACTTGCTGTGTTAATTGTCTTATTGATCATATTAGCCTTTTGCACTAGTTAAACGGTTCTGGCCTTTGCATGCTCACTCAGCTTATTCATCAGAATTATTTTTCTCTAAGAAATAAGAGCCATGTTATGACGACTTTTTTTAAGTGAAGCTTTCATATATTAGTGTGTCTGTGAAGGTTAGTGTGTACTATTCCCTTCCCAAACTAGCAGAGATATAATTCACTGCTGCTGCCTCTTCAGTGCCGGCGAGGCATCAGTTTCCCAGACTTGGTGGCACAAGTGTTCCTGTTGCTCAGTCGTGCACTGGTGTCTCCTTCTCTTTTTACTCCAGTTACAGGCAGTTTGTTCTGTTCTGTCAAAGGGAGCAATACACACATTTGAAAT